ATCCTGCATCTCTAAGTTTCTATAACATGCGACGAACATGAAGGTCATGTTCTTATGTGTTCTTAGAGTAGATTAGAATGTCATCTAAATAGAAAATAATAGAATCATCTAAAAATTCACAAAAAATATCATTCATAAGATGTTGAAAAGCGGCCGATATATTTATAAATCCAAAAGGCATGACATTATATTCAAAACGTCGATACTTAGTTTGAAAAGCAGTCTTCCATTCATCTCCTTCTATGATACGAACTAAGTTATATGCTCCTCGTAGATCTATTTTGATATAAATCATTGCTTGATTGAGTTGGTCAAGAAGTCCTAAAATCAAAGGCAAAGGATACCTATTTTTGATGGTGATCTTATTGAGTCCTCGATAATCCACACACATTCGCAAAGATTTATCTTTCTTCTTCACAAATAAGATAGAAGCCCTGGTTGGAAATTTAGAATGGCATATGAAGTTCTTTGCCAAATTCTTATCAATGTATTCCTTTAATGCAGCCAATTCATTCTGCGATAAGCTATAGATTGGTCAGAATGGTGGTTGAGCTCTTTCTTATATATCAATTGAACAATCATAAGATTGATGCTCGGGAAGAATATTTACATTTTTCTTTTCAAAAACATCTTGGAATTCTTGATATTGGTTAGGAATACCAGTCAACGTTGTTTCACCATTAGAAATGGATGTAGTATATATAGCAAAAAATGATCCTTCTTTTGCAGCATAAATGAAAGCTTTTGTACCTACTAATAAAGGTTTGGATGTACTAGACTTACGTACTTCTACTTTACTAATAAGATCTTGGATTATACTATCACAAAAGTTAAGGTTACGAGAAATCCAATCTATTTGAGGGTTATATTTTTCTAGCCATGATAATCCTAAAATAACCAGATTAGAGGGAGGTTTTATTACATTAAATACTATTATATTGTTATGATCTTTAATTGCTATATCTAAAGGAATAGTTTCATGGATAACATTTCAAGAAGATAATGAACGACCATCTATGACTTCTACATGTATGGATTTAACTTTCTTCACTAAAGATACTTTTTGATTTTTGGCAAAATCTTTGTCTATAAAACATGCTGAGGCTCCTGAATCTAACAAAGCAAAGACTTTGTGATTATTAGGTCCTAAATATACTTCTATTATAAAATAAGATGAGAGGTCCGAGGAGAAGATAAGACTTTTATTAGGTATTATACATGATTCCAGCCGCACGGTTCCTATTGTAGTTGAAGAAACTCGTTTTTCGACACATTATCTTCTTTGGTAATTATGCTCCTCATTTTATAATTGTGTTGCTTCTTTAGCCAATGTTGAGCAGTGTATTTAGCTTCTCTACAATATAAACACAATCCCTCTTGGCGATGTCGAGTCTTTTTCTGCTTTGTGAGAGGTTTAAAACATATCATATCAATTTGCATTGATTTTGGCTTTGACAAATACGTTTTAAAAAACTTGGGAGCTATCGCCATTACGTGACTTATTCCTCTCTAACCAAATCTTTTTTCTTGACATCTTTCAAATAAATGATTGTCACATGCAATGGCTTGAGTAATAAATTATTTCAAAGATTCTACTTTTGGCATTGTTAATAACAAATCTTTGACGCTATCCTTTAACCCATATCAAAATTGGTTGATAAGTGCTTTGTCGTTCTAGTCCACATTGCAAGCAAGGTTTTGGAATTCAGCAACATATATAGTGGCTGATCGTGATCCTTATCGTAAGGATAAAAGCTTGGTCTCTACTACTCGTTCTCCATCACTTTCTGTCAATGTGGTCGTAAATACTTGTAGGAATGAATTCAAATCATAAAAGAGTCGTGAATCTTTTTCAATTAAAGGTGCAAACCAAAAGAGAACACTTCTTGATAGTAGTGTGTATATGAATCTGACTTGGATAAATTCATCAAGATATTGAAAAGAGTGCAATCTTAGATAGAGCTTGACTTGTTGGAAAATCCTTGAAATTTTGATCTTGTTCTATCAAACTTCTCAAACATACTAATCCTTATCCCTGTCATATTTGTAGAAGAAAAACTCCCTGGATTTGGTTGTGACGTTGATCTACTTGCTTCTTTCAATTGCACAATTTCTTGCCGCAGACTCTGAACTTCTTCCATAAGCATAGGCATAGTACTTCCATAATTCACGTTGGAAATACGTGAGAGTTCTACTCTTCGAGTGTTGACAAGCTCATGAAGATCTGTCATAGTTGCAAATCTATTCTCACTTCTGTTGAGAGTAGCATCCATAATCTTTCCTTCCATAGACAACTCAAACAAATTCAAAAGTTAAATTAGAGGACGCTAATCTGTAACCTCTAAAAACAAAACAATAGAAGTGGAGTAATCTACTCACTTCTAAAACAAGATAGAAACAATATGTTAGCACTCTTGTCAAACTATCAAAGACATGAATTTCGAAGAAAGAGAATCCTCAATACACTCTTCTATCATTGAAGAGAACTAAAAAGTCACTCAAAAGGTGATGTAATAAAAACTAGAATGGCTATTGCCAAAAACAAGAAGACTAGAAAGTCTTGAAACAAGACTAAGACTACAAAGGCGTTGACAAGAGTGAAGAAGGCTTCACTCTTACCTCCATATATACTATCTAACTAAAAGCTACATAGCGATGTCCTATATGACCTCCAACATGTGTTGACTTTTCTAGCCACATGTCTTCTCTTGCAAGGCAAGTTATCTATATATGCGCCACATAGTTGGCTTGTTCCACAAGCTACTACACAAAGATAACTTGTTCCACAAGCTACTACACAAAGATAACTTGTTCCACAAGCTACCAATACATGGTTAGCTTTTTGGCCAAGTTTCTAACCTACAAACACATCTAAAGTCAAAATCGTCTCTGTAAAGCTTCTAGGAAGCTTCTAGGAAGCTTTTCTAAAAGTCTTTATGAAATTATTCTATATTTATCTACTTCTACTTAATCGTATAAGTAACTATTGAAGTAAATATATATGTCTATGACAATTGGTTAGATAAGTGTTGATGTAAGCAATCAAGTTATTGAAGCAATATTATGAGCTTTTGGTATAAGCAACAGCCAACAATTTATTATAGCTATGCTATAATATTTTTTGCAATATGATGGATCTTCCTTGCACCTATAAAATAATAAGAGTGGCAATTGATGGTATCAATGATCTTATATTGGTGCATCAAAATTGGCATTTAAATGAAGTGAAGATTGTATATGTTGCTATGTTATATAATGTCATGTTATATAATGATAACTACAACAAGATTAAATAATTCCAATAGCACTTGTGTATATTGGAAGAAAAGTACTTGTTATGATTATTAACTCAACAAATAGTAGTATGTGCACAAATAAAAAATTGCAATATAAGAAAGATCTTGGTGATTACTAATCCACATCTAAAAAAGCCAAAGAATAGGCCAATGGAAGCAAAGAATAAAGCTAAGTTATTAACAACATACAAGCTATTTGCATTTGAACTTGCTATATTTTGATAATTGTAATAGCATTGGCTATGATAAACAAACATGCCATAGCAAAGCAAACAAGGATTAGAATTAATATTGCCACTTTTGTAGAAGCATTGTATTGCAAGTATTCAAGATATATTAACAAACAAAAATTGTAATTTTTATGTCATTGATTTTTTTGCTCTTCATTACAAGCTCAAGCTTTGAATAGTTTTTGATATTAGTTTGTGTAAATTTAATTTAATACATTAAAGATAAAAGAAAAATTTGGAAGAATTTGCTTCATATAGATGGTAAGAGAAGTACCATCATATTATAGTTACAACTTAATTGGCAAGTTAATTAATTTGCATCATTGACAAACTAAATCTTTACACAAAAATATGTCATTTTGGCAACAATTGCATTTAAATGATTTGTTATTATATTAGATGACAAAGGCAATACCACTATATATGTGTTGTATAATACAACCATTAGCAACAAGGAGATTTACATGCTTTAAGTTGAGAAAATCCATTGGCAATTCAAATTACTTTAGTGTAATGTCTCTTTGTCTCCAATCAAACCTCAATGGCTTCACCAAGAAAAATCAAGGAGAAAAATATTTGTTGACCAAAGCTCTAACAAACAAGCTACAAACTTGGTGCTAATCAATAAATATTGTTGTATACATATTGATAACAAATATTGAATTATTGGAAGAATATTAGGTGTTGGTAGAAGTGGAGTGAAGGAATGACATATTATAATGGAATTTAGCATTGTCAAGCAACATCTTGGGGTAGAAATAGCTAGAATATGGTGTAGAAATACTAAGTTTCTATATTTGTCAGAATCAAAAGTTTAGTGTTTTATCAGACAAAATTTTGAGTTAATAATACATTATTTAAGACAGCATTGTTGTTAAAGGTTGCTAATTATTTAGATACTCATTACTTTCACATATTAATCTTACCTATTAAAATGTAATTTTGTTTTTGAAGTAAATATTTAGTTACGAACTTTGTTCTTTGAACATTGAATAAGCGATTGATTGCCATTTCTTTGGCCATCCCCACACCTGCTTTCTTGTAAAAAACAAGTGTCCAGATAAAATGGCTTTAAATATGAAATTCCAAATGCATCATTTGGACATACATGTATAGCTGTGAATGTGTTTGACAACCCTGCGCTCATTTGGGATATGGTCAAGGAGAGGAATGAGTTTTGATTATAAATTTTTCTAAAAACAGGATTCAAGGGCTCCTGAAGCAAGCTTCACAGATCTTACAATATTTATCAGCTTAGCAAAATGCGTTTGAGCTTCAGGGCAGGTGCCACACCTATCAGAATCAAAGATGAAGCTATACTAACAGAACAAGTGCAATGCTCAATAGAATTCCTTCAAATATGACCGCTCAATCTAGTGATCCACAATACGAAGAAAATTCAAGAAGGGAGTCATGATGATTGCCAAAGCATATCTACCGACAGAAATTTCCAACAGCACCAACATAAAGATACTTAACAAAACTCTGAAGAAAACGCTTTTTAATGAAGGCCCAGTTCATAAAAACAAATGTACTGAGATTGAATTGGTTAGGAATTATTGACAATGAGAGTGAGATAGGTGATGAAACAAGAGAATGTGGAATACAAATGACACATTTTGAGTGTTACTCTATGGTCAGTGGCGAAGTTCTAGGAGTGACAAGATGATTACTTGTAGATGGTGTACTTCGAATACTAGATACTGCCGCTGTGAAGGATTGGAACACGGGATGGAAGCTCCTGACCTGCATGCTGCAATCAAGGGTCCGGTCCTGCAGAGAACAAGGACCAAGAGTAGAACTTGGTGAATAACCTCAGGAGAGAGTTGTGGGTGATCTCTCATTGCGGCTAACTAATCCCATGGTGCAGAAACTCCCATGGGAGAAACTCCAACTTCAGGCGGCATGCCCCCTGCTCGACCACTCGCCATGGGCCTCATTGCGGGCCTGTGGGCACGTCCCATGGGAGGAAATCCAACTTCAGGCGGCATGCCCCCTGCTCGACCACTCGCCATGGGCCTCATTGCGGGCCTGTGGGCACCTCCCATGCGAGGAACTCCAACTTGAGGCGGCATGCTCCCTGCTCGACCACTTGCCATGGGCCTCATTGCGGGCCTGTGGACACCTCCCATGGGAGAAACTCCAACTTGAGGCGGCATGCTCCCTGCTCGACCACTCGCCATGGGCCTCATTGCGGGCCTGTGAGCACCTCCCACAGCCGGCTGCTGCGTTTGTCGCTGTGGCGTTGGTCCTAGGCCTACTCCTCTTCCTCTATGTTTTCCAATGAGTTGCACATATGGGGTGGCCATGCGCTCCAAATCCGCTGCTGTTAGCCAGATAAGTCAACTTCAGTAATTGTAGTAATTTTCAGGCCTCTGTTGCGCGACTCAAGATATCATGGGAAAGTCTGATGCTGTCAAAAGGCCTGGAACAATGATCTCAGCCAGACTGCACCACAAATTCTAGCTTAAGAACCTACGTGTCCATTACGTTCAAGAACTGGTACAAAAAGGACTTACAAGTTGGTGCTTCGCGTTGAATATGCTCTCGCTCACCTCCTATTTCCTTTAGCTGCTCCCGACTTTCATCAATAACGGCTTGAAAAAGAGGACCCAAAACAGGAGCTGCTAGATGCTTGAGCTCCACGGATTTGTCTTTGACCTGCTTCGATGTGGTTCGAGAAACCTTGGCAATCTCGACTGCCGCCGTTCGGGATACACTAGCGATCCCCTCTGCACCCTTCTTTACAAAATCGAATGCTTTGGAGGATAGAGGCCTTTGATCGCCTGGTCCTCGATAGATGCTTCCCGGCGACAAAGTTTTGAATCCAGATATATTATGAATTGCTACTTTGCTGTCCTCATTATCCTGGGCATTAGAAGAATATTGATCAACAAAAAGGTCACGTTGCACCATGCCGTTGCGTTGTGAACCACGAGTACTCGTTTCATGGGGTTCGTAATAGACACCATCAGTTTCAGAGCGAGGAGAACTGTACATGGCAGCAACGTGGGTCCTAGGGTGAGGACGACGCGGTGTAAGACGTTTTGACGGCTGACCAAAAGCATTCTGAGGATTCTCGAAGTTTTGGGTGTCCCGTCCCAAACTAGTATCCTGTAACCAATTGCTAACACGATCAATACTATGACTTTTCAAAGCGAGGCCAGGGTCATCGTTACAATTGCCATAACCAGGATCGGAATATGCATCTAAAGATTCTTGCCGGAGATGATCATACTGCCGACGGACGCCCTTCTGAGCCTTTAACTTAGGGCCGGCATCGACTTTGATGTATTCATCCTCCTCACTGCTTGCAGCTCCATCCACGAACAAGACATCTCGATGACCACCAGAGGCGGAACGAACTCGCCTATGGCTATATTGTGGTCCAGTTGGACGTTCTATTCTTACTTCCTTCTTCCTGTAACTGTAAGCTGAATGCTCCGATTCAAAATTGGGACCACCCGTATAGTATTCATCTTCAGGGGCGTCCACCGCAACTTCATGGGTAGAAGTGATTCGCAACCAGCTCCGCTCTTCGTTAACAACGTGCTTCACGTTTTCTTCGTCCAAGTTTTTGGAAAAACTACCGAACTCCCCCATCCTCTGAAAACATAGAAAGCAATCCATTAAATTTCAAAACGTTTCGCAACACCCACAAGCATCATAAGATTCATTTATTCAGTGAAAAGAACAATAAAAGGCACCCATTTGCAGGCAATGCCATAAGGCACTGCTACCAGCTGAATCCAGAAACCGTAAGCTACACGAAGAATTAGTCAATCACACCATCACACTACAATGTCACTGCAGCTGCTGACCTTGAACCTTCATCACGCGATTAGTCTGCGATTCAAGTATTTCTTTCTCCTTCCACATTCGCGAGTGGCATTCTGAGCCCACACTGATGCATCAATAGAGCGCTCAAATCCGCCTTCAGCAGGTCAACGAAAGAGGAAGGAAACCTAAACAAGAGAAACGATAAGAGGGACTCCGAAACAATCTCCTCACATCGCTGGAGCCCAAGCTATCATCCCGCCTGAATAGAAGGGATGGTCGATTTTGACTATTGCTGCTCCTAATATGCTACCGATTACCGACAGCTACAAAAAAGTCCAATAAACCACTAAACTTAGACCCATCACAATGCCCTCCGGTTTCCTGCACGAAAGAACTGAATGAGCCCTAATGCTCAGCTGCTGGGCAACAACCTGGAACCCACCCACCCGAAAATCACACCAATGATACTGCTGCCCTGCGCACATACATGCTCGAGAGGCTCATTGAGCACAAATCGGTCACTTGCTAAACAACGGCCATCCTTTAAACGCCAAAAAGGAAGGTTCACGTACCCAATCTTGCACTTGTGAGTCTATGCATTCACACCCTCCAATATCTCCGCTACTCCTGATCGAATCAACACCATACAACGAAACTCACCCAGTTTGTGAGCAATTATCAACCGACTCTTGCACTTAGCAAAGAGCGGGCTTGAGAGTTAGCAGCCAAAGTCAGCACGCAGAACTGGTGGACAATGGCAGCATCGTCCTAGCTATTTCAGGAATGATGCCACTGCTCTCACAACCCACACAAAAATTTCGAGATTGTCCGATGATTCACGGCGGTTCTCGACAAACTCAACAGCCGGTTAGCGAATGTGAAAATGCTACGACTTTTCAGGGAGGGGTAGGAAACCCAGAGCACGGGTGAAAAGGGCGTCCAGAGTGCGACGTCGACCGAAGCTTTTGGATACCAACCTCGGGATGTCCGTTGGTTTTCAAATTCTACATTCTGCATCCTTTGACTTTTACCATGGATCTCCTGTTATCACCTGGTTCACATTGATGGTGTGACGGCCAAGATTCGCACAGCTCGAAGCGGCATGGTGAAGCATCTGCGGGTCCGCCTGGTTGCCTGCGATTCTACGATTCTCCTCTTTAGCAGCACAAATCGGTGACGAAGCAGAAGCTTTAAAAACACAAGCATCAAACCCTAATTGGGCTCGGCGACTTAAAATCTGGCCGCTATGGAATCCAAGTAGCCTGGCTTATCTAAATTTACGTCATGGATCTCAATGATATACAGTTATATGTGTTGTTTTTAGATAATCAAAAGCAAATAAACAAATCCCCCTGTCAGACCATTGTATAATTTCATTTATAAATGAATGTTATTCTGAACGTCGTTCATGGGGATTTTTTTATTAATATGTTATGTGTTATTTTAAAAAAGTTGATTTAGTTCATGTGAAAAACACCTTTCACTATTCACAATCTGTCGTCATTACCAGGCTTGAATCCACCATCTTGAATTCTGTAGATTGTAAGTTTTTCTCGGTAACATTATGAAAGGATCGTTTCACATCTTTTTGATAAAGAAATTGCAATCTAAATCCCTAAATTTTTCCACTAAGTGGATTCAGACTTGAGGTTTTTGGATGTAACTGCACCTATGATGATATCTCAAAGTATCACATAATATTTTGAAATATCACTTGATAATTCAAAATCACCCACATGGTGAGGTATATGATTTTTTTAATCAAAATATCACAAAAGGGATGCATGAAATATCACAAACTATATGGCTTACGTCAACTCTCTACCCCTTTTGATTCTATGCTAACTTACCAAGCCTCTATGCTTCCAAAAATTTCAAACTCTAAATTTCTTTCATTCCATACCACACCGCAACTTTGCCCTTCTTTTGTGCTCCCATAACAACAAATCCTAAAAAATTTGGACTACATACCACACGACAACCTCACGATGTCTTAGTACTCCAAAAACAACAAATCCTTCATGACTTAGAAATGTTGTTTACTTTCTCAATTATTGAAGAATTCAATGAAATGTTTGAAGAATAATAGGAGGAGGTTTAAAACATGTTTGAGAAGAAGTTATTTGAGTTTGATGATGCGAAAGAACTTGTGGTAGTTGATGGGACAATCAATTCCTACCAAAAGACTCAGCACACAATGTGAGCTAGATGATAATTCTTGGCTATAAGTCTCCAACCACTGAATAATTGATAAATTAGGAGTTTTATTATTATTTGGCAAAAACATGGGTTACAAATGAACATTGCATTGGGATTCTAAAAGATAAGTGAACTTTGCTTAAAGAAATTTATACCTAATTCATTTGTAATATGGATATAAAGTTTATTGTCAACTAGATTTTTTCATGTTCAATTTTTCATAATATGTTAGCTAGTTAGGACAACATGTGGACAATTGAATTTATGAAGGCTAGCTGAAAACCATCAAAGAATTTTGGTGCTACGTCAAGGGCAGCGATACGTTTTAAAAAAAAAATAGAATAAAGTAGTGGCAAATAATTATGCATTGGGTATTTTAACAAAGCATGATTTATATTAGTTTATTGCAACCATATTTAGGATTTATTGTCTTCAACTACTAAGATTTTGAACATATAGTATTCTTTCTATATTGAGCAATTGAAATTAAAAATATATATTTTAAATCTCCTACAATATTAGTTGTCTTTGTATTATTGTGTAATAAATTTTATAATTCTAAGGCTTCTAGAACTGTAAAAAATAGAGTACATTGAAAAACAAGGGAATGGACAACTAGACCTTATCTATTTCTATATGGCCAATATATCTTGTATATTATATCTATATATAAGAATATTCTATATTAAAATTAATGTATAAAATTAATATAAAAGGATATGGATTAAAAGTGTTGAAAGAAGTAATTTATTGGTATTTAGTGATTTTAATATGAAAGAAGTGTTTGTAGTAGACCAAAATTGTGGATGTAATATAGTAGGATTTAAAATTCATAAGGTGTTTGGAGGATTATATCAACACACTCCTCTCCCCCCCTTCCTCTCCTCTCCTCTCAACTCAACACCTCTTTATATTATCAAGTGTTGTAGCTTATATCTAAATTTTTTATTGATTAGCAAACATGGAAATTATAAAATGCCTTTAATTATAAAAGAGTTTTTAGTTGTGAGAAATTACTTTGTCTTTTACTTATGTAATTTAGTTTTGATCGTAGTTACAGAATTGATTAACATCCTTTAACATAAGTGGAGTTGATTCTTCTCATCTTCTAGCTTCTATCCATCATTTTTCATCAGATTTGTAAGACAATGTCCTTTAATACTTTTTCTTGACTTGTAGATTTTGTATGGCATTGTGAACCAAGGGACATCTCCCATCTTGTGGATTCTATGTAATGTTGTGAAATAAAAAACAATGTGACAAAGTGTATATGCAAATACAAGAGCTTGCTTGATGTACCTCCATTATAATACAATATTCCTATGTCTTTGGTTAGAGTGAGTTCTTCATCCAACTAAGATCATTTGTCATTGGTCAATGCATCAAATTCTCAAGAAAGTCTAAATAGCTCCAACTCCATGTCAAAAGAGAATTCAAATAGTACTAACTTTGTATCAATAACTTAATTGCATTTTATAGTGACAAAGTTTTATGCAATTCAAAAAGGATGGTTTTTAGGAATATATCTCAATTGGAAGGATTGCATTCCTTAAGTGTTTGGCTATATCGGAGCAAAATTTCAGCTTTTCAAAAAACTTGCCAATGCAAAGTTATTTCTAGAGCCAAGCAAGACAATTCAACCCTAGCCACAAAGGTGTTTTTTTTTTTTTTTTTTTTTTTTTTTGCTGAGTTTTGGATTGTATGCAAGAAAGGTCCTAAGTGTTTTTAGTTTTATAAGATTGATTCTTTTGTAAGATTGGCTATTTTTTAAATAAAATATGACACTTTTGAATAACTAGAAAATTAATACAAAATAAAATGTGTTATTCCAATGTACATAACAAAATCTATTGAGTTTCACTATCTTGAACAATAGTTTACAAGGAACGTGTTCTTTAAATTTTAAGGCCACCTTAATATATTACATCTAAATCTACCATAAAACCTTACACCTAAGGCTATTATAAAATCTTGAATATAAGGCCAACCTAAAATAGAATATCTGAGCACCATAGTAGAGGCCACCTTAAAACCTTGCACATGTTTCTCCCTTGTCTCTATCCATTTCACAAACATTCTTTAAATCTCTCTATCTTAATTCCATGTACTAAAATTTAGACCAATGTATCATATTTCAAGCTTGACAATGGTGCAACCTTGTAGTATAAATCATAAAATTTAAAACATAAATCAATAAATACAATTATAAACTTGCAAACCAATATTTTGTTCACATGTTTTTTTAAAAGAACTAAGATCTATTTAATTTCTTATATATTTTTTCTTTGAATTAACTTGGACTAGATAAGATCAAAGAGCTTGTCTTTTCTATTGCATTTTCAAATCACCTCTTTCTTATCCTATTCTACAACCAATTTCTCTCATTTAAATGTCATCTTATCTTTTTTCAGCCTCTCCTTCATTTTGAGTTCTTTTTGTAACCTAACCTTGATTCTCTTACTTTCTTGTTTTAATAAAGTCAAGTACTCTATTATTACGATAATTTTTTGTCGTAATCACTCCACAAACGTATTAGCTATTGAATAGAACTTGTTTGGAGATTTACCTTTAGACTTTGAAACTTGTGATAGGTGACCCTTCTTTTTTGGGATGATGATAGTGATGTTGCTAAGTGATGTATGTTGCATAGAAGGCAATGTTGGTGAAATGGATAAGAATATGGAAAAAATAGAAGTGAACAAAAAATTATGCTCTTTCTTATACACTTCCTTTAATTCATCAAATTTTTCTTGTAATAAAACCTATTGAGTATCTTAGAAGAGCAATTCTTTGAGCAATAGATTCAAATTTGGCAATTCATCTAGTGAATTGGTCATTGGCACTACCATAGAGTTTTGTAATGGCATTATATCCATTATTGTAGTATAATCCTTGTAGAATGGAGTTATATTTGGCCTTGTACTATACAAAGCATGCATCATGTCAAAGAGTAGACAATTGTCCTCCAACTTCACAGCCATCATAAGTATACCTTGTTTCTAATCCTTATCATTGATGCTAATGCTTGTATCCTTTGACCATTTATACACGGCTACAAATTTGGCTTTGAAAGTATGCAATCAACCTAACATATTTGTAGTAGAAAGGTTGAATTTGCCCTTTGATGACTTGTTCACATAGGCAACTAGCTGTACCAAAGCTTATTCCTACTCATTTGCTTCTTGCATACCTCTGTCTTATTAGAATTGTATAATTTTTTGAAATTTGATGGATTTTCCAACCAATTGACAATAGCAATATATTCATTTATACAAAAATGACCTCTTTTATAAGTGTTTATAGGATTTGGGACCTTCTAGGGAGGTATAATGTTTAATTCAAAAGAGTGAAAAGGTTTGTTCTTAAATGTTAAGTCAGCATGTTAGGCCGGCTTCATATTGCTTAATATGTTATCAAGATACCAAGTAATGCTTCAAAAACTTGAAGGGGGTATTCAAGTCTGAATGGTGATATTTGAGGAGATAATATTTTTGAATGATCAATGATATTTGGGTTTCCAAAAACCAAAAACACATGATATCTGGTTGCCCAAAAACATTAAGTCTGGATCCCCTTAATGTAAAATATTTCCCAACTGGATGGGAAATGTTTTACTCTGGATTCAAATAAAGTAATTAATACTTTGTAAATTTATGAAAAGTTCTTGCAATAATGCTGGTAGTTTATAAAAATTTGTTTTAATTAGCCTAAATTATGTTGAATTTCTAATTTCAATCTCACAAACTCAAAATCAATCATAATACCCATTATCGTATTTTCCAAAACAAGCAAAAAGAAATTATTAAAATTATGGATAAATGTAAACAATTCATTACAAGTTGGATGGCGTTGCAAATCCGTGACTATATCAATGCTCGTCACCATCTGTGCTCAGAACTCAATGCGTGCCAGATGAATGCTGGACAATGCCACCTGAATCGGGCCCGAGAAGTTCTAGATCTCTCTGTTCAGAAGTCTCTGGAAAACTCTAGAATTCTCAAGACCTGGGTGGCGGGGGTCTTGGGATTTCTAGGGGGTTCTAGACTTGCCTATGAGTCGCTTTATTAATTCTCCAGCAGTTTGTGGAAAATGCAGCAAGTACTCGCGGTTTTTGCAGGACATCGGTCCAACTTGAAGTTGTCACAAATTTCTTCTCTGCAGTTGATTGTAGACTGATTATCTAGGCTTCTACTCGTGATTAACCATCGGAAAGGTTTGAGCAGCTGTTTAGAATTTTTTGGCAAACAAGGAGACAGAGTGTGATACTGAGCATCTCCAGTGCTTGGTTTGAAGAGTGTTCCAAGAGTTTCGTGGACCGGATCGAGGAAAAATGGATTTCCCTCTGTTTCAGATTTTGAGCTTCCCTGACGAGCTGGAGAAATCGTTGAACCCGCAGTCGCAAAAAATAGTGCGCGACAAAATTATTTCAGTGGTTTATCTTTATAACTGTGAGACTTATTTTAAGCTCGGAAGGAAGACAGATTGTGTTCCACAATAATCCGAGACTCCATGTACGAGACTGGAGTGCTAATTGATAGAAAATGCATCTTTCTGAGCATATATGAAGTTTCAACACATGGTTAGAAGCAATCCTGGACATCATCTCTTGGTATGACTTGTTGTTTGCGACTTAGTGTTCCCTAGATCAGAGGAACTGATACGATATGCGGGTTGTGCAGGTACAAATGGAGAATGATAATGTCCTCGTCATTGGTGGCACACGAAAACGTGAGGAGACAGATCCTCAAGTGAAATGTATCCGAATGGAGCGAAACTCCGGCACATTTATGCGCAAATTCACGCTTCCTCAGAATTCTAATTTGGACAAGATCACTGCTTCCTGCGTTGATGGCGTGCTCACACTTATAGTTGCTAAGATTCCTCCACCAGAACCTGCAAAGCCAAGGACTATTGAGGTGACCACGGGAAGAAATTAAAACCAGAATATGAAGTCTCGTTGGTGACGTCACATAGGGCGTTTATTTGCCTCATTATCGTCTCATGGCGCAGTTTAGAAACGATATCACAGACCTGTCTGAAGACCAAGCTCTCTTCGAATGCCAAATCATGTCGGTCTTGTCATGTCACAAGCATAATCCACCCAACATGGCAACAAAGTAATTTACCTTGTCGTTGCCTACCTGTCTGAAGGTGAACAAAATGTCGACAAATATAGTAAGAGACTATAATTTGGGTTCACAGGGAGAAGGTAAATTAGTTCATGTGTGGAGGGGCACTTGCTTCTGCCATTGCGAGTTGATGCATCTCTGTTAGAGAGTCTGAAAGATCCTCACAGTGGAGCTCGCCAGGGTCCCGCAGCCCGCAGAGCAGGGGGGCCACGAGTACCAGCCACCCTCCCCTGCGCACCACTCCCATGGGGAATCAATTTTGAATCCTTGTTTATTAAATATCCGTGTTGAAGAAAAAATTGACGAGTTAATTTTTTGAGTTGTAGAAGTTCTTCCTGGAAACAAAAGTGTCATGTACTTTCAGTGCTGTTATATACGAAAAATATTCTTTGAAGCAAGAGTGATGGTTGAAAATCATAACAAATGGTTGTCTCAAAACGTTATAACATGGTCAAAAAGTATTTTTGCAAAGCTTTCTTATGCAACGTAACATAAGAAAGTTTATCTATGAGCTCTTAAGACAAGATTGGGAAGCCAAATAAATAAATAAAATAAAGCTCTGAGCTATACATGACATACTTGAGCAGATTTTACTAAGTAGTGGTGGTGATAATAATGGCTGTTAAAGGAATTTGGGGGGTATACTAAAGAGAATTGAAGGATTTGGGATTGAGACGCAAGCCCTTGAACAAACTTCAGCACACTCTGTATAGAGTGTGGATCAGTGTGGGCCAAATGCGGAAGGCAACCCAACTGAGGAGATGTAAAATGTTTCCTAAGTGGAAACATACTTTGGTAAGAGTTGTGAATCGTTCAAACCTGCCCGCCCTCCAACCTGCTCCTCCCCCGGCTGGTTTCCCTACGTTCCCTCCCTTCGTTCCCATATTACAGATCGGCGGTTGCGATTGAATCTGCGCGGCAACCGAGATCCGACGGCCCACGATGGCGGAGCCAGTCGATTGAGTTCGGAGGTTTCGAGGACACAGTTCTACGAGGGAGGCGGCGTGACAATATGCACATTAATTGCGCTTGTGAGGGTGACTAAGGAGATCGATAGCACTACCAGTTCCTAAGCAACGCAGGTTGACTTGCAATATTGCTTGCGAAGGCAGCACAATCCTCTAGTCAAAACACACAGAATATCAGCTTATTTATGAACGTTGACTTTCAACACTAGTTTGGGTATGTTTGCAAGCGTTGAGTAACATAGACACATTATGACAGGTTGCTACGCGTGAACAGACTCTCAAACAACAGCAAGTTTGAATGAAGTGAGATCAAACAAAACACTGAGAAAATTCGTTAGAAACTAGATGATATTTTCATTCGGCTCATAATTAACCTTGAAAAAAAACTCGGTGAACGATTCCGAGGCTTCACCGATGACTGCAAACACAATTAAATAATAGGACTGACAGCATCAAAACAAAGTTGACATCACTCTAACTGGATGGCTGCTTTGTAGGATTTTCCCTGTAGATGGTTCACACCGAAGCAGCAAGATACAGTATCAAGGGCATGTAATAAAGCGAAGGGAAAACGTCACATTCCAAAGTTGCGCTGAGGAAGCAATAACCAATGTCGGCTATACCCATACACAGGCGAACGGTCACTGTGGTGCCAGCCAGTTTTCCGCCACCAAGCTCCCATGCAGCACTTCAAAAGTTCACGCTCAGTGTCTAAGATCAAGGAAGCGATGCGATAGCCCAATTGAGCAAAAATGTTATCTGCTCCAACTCTAATTGGTAGGGAAAATGACTTGATATCATCAGTGGCTCCTGTCAGCAGACTCCTCTCATCCAGCTTGTGTTCTTGATGATGGTTCATGCAAGGTGCTCCAGATTCCGACTATGGAGACATTCTCGTCCATCATAACGATGAGTGTGCAACGTCATTGAAGATTTTGCAGCGTGGATTCAAGGTGTAGCCAATAGGATGCTCAACGAAGCATGATTGGCAATGGGATTTGCTGTAGGGACGTTATGGATATCATTACGGTAGAATTGATTGCTGGAGAGCTCTATTTGTTTGGGAACGTAGTTCAGGTGGAAATGCTGTTGAGAAAAAGAGTGTATTCCTGCTTGTTTTCGTGAACATGAACGTTCAGGATTCTGCAGTGTTGTGTATTGTGCATCTTTAATTTGAGCTACAAATCAGTAATTGAAATAACGTTTATTCCTAATTGTGCGGCTCATCATGGTGGCAAGGTATGCAAGCTGTGTAATTGGATACTTGGAGCCGTTTTGGCAGCAGAGATTTTCATAAATGCATTTAGTTCTGGATCTATAGTACAAGGCTTTTTCCTGACATAGTTAAATATATAACCAATTAAATCTCATAAGATTTTGCATAATATTATCATGTGATATAAGAAAAAAAAAATTAAACATATTACTGGGATTGGGAAGAAAAATTATAATAAAATTAAGAATCGATATCTTTATGAAGATTGAAAAACAAAAACAAGATACATCAAAAAATATGACAACAGTCAGGCACCATATTCTAAGGGATTTGATGTGATGACTAAAAATACCAAAAATTATTTTGATATAATCAAGAAAGTTAAATAATGATGTCATAAATTAGAAGACGAACAAAAACCCATGCCAAACATTAAAATAGATAGAAGAGATAAAGTAGAAAATTGTGGCAATGACAATTTCATGGTGAGCAAACAAACTTTATACAAATGCATTCAAAGGAAATCATTCTTTGATCCAGACTTTGTAAAATGTTGTGCATCTGAAATTTAAAGTTAGAGCATGAAGAGTACAAGGTTGTTGTCTAGGGCTCAATGTTATTTACTGGATTATACTAACTTTAAGAATTCAATCAGAAGGGTGTACATCATGAAGCTCGATGACGGGCTTTCAGCACATGAAACAGAATTCCCAAACACCATCGCCGAATAAATACAATCCACACAAACTAAGGCTACAGACTGCCCCAATAAGCTTGTCTAGGTATACGGTGCAGGAGAGAGAGGGCTCACCCCATGTACAAATCTATAATATACCAATGTAAGACACCTTAGTCAAAAACAACCCCTACTTGTTGCCAACATGATACAATTTGATTCTTATAGATCATAGAACATGAGGTTAAAGGCTCTGTCGGTGTGCTCCCAATGCAGAAACGGCTGTAACAATTACCACCGACTAACAGATTTTATCTAAGATCAACGTTACCAAAAAAGAAATTTGTGCGAGGAACGAGCATGCAAAAGAACATCAACATCGGTGTCTGTCGGTTCAATCATAACCCGTGAATCAGTCGACCGGGATTGAAGGAACCGCCAGCTGAAGCCACTGCAGCAGGATTCACCACTTTGAAAAAGAAAAGAGGTTTCGAGCTTTCACCCAACGAAGGCTCTCTCCGTTGCCACCATAGATTAGATTTCATTGTTTTGTGTGCCTTATACAGGAAGCATTCAACTCTGCAATCATATGGCCAAAAATTAACAGCAGACTAAAATCGGACACGAAAATATACTCCAACTGTCTTATTGTGCTGAAAGAAAGTTGAGAGAACAGGTCTGGCGGTGGAACTTTGTCTCTGCCAACAAGACAATCAATCACTCTTGAATGAAATATTGCTAACATACCAGTATAAGGTCAAGGCCATACCTGTGCCGTATTCCCCACCGAAGGCAGCATTTCCATTTGCTGGATTCTGCGTTGCACATTACGTTCTTGACAACATTCCAACACCAACCTAATAAACGTGCCCAATCCAAGTACCACGAGAACTCCTATACAGGGATCATCACCACACTAGGGTTAAGCTACAACGTCCAACAATGGGCATAAATGGTAGAGTGTGGACAAATGGTCACGAGGTTATATGCGCGCGGAGAATGGAAGCAAGGTCGAGCCGAACCCCCGAGATAGACAAAGGTGAAGAACAAGGAGGAAAAAAATGTCTTACCAAAGATGAAACCTATCGGAATTGCAGCGTATCCAATTGTAGATTTGTTGATGGAATCCACGAAGAGGTAAGTCATGAATGCAAGAACGCCCAACCATAAAACTAGAACCAACGGATGCCTCCTCACAACTGTAAGAAGCACGGGTCGGTTTAACATCAGTCCACTCTCAAGTCCCGCTTGGCTGCTTCCTCCCGCATGCGATGACATCGGAGTTTGCCCGCCAATGGCAGACTGTCCTCCAAGTCGCCACACCCAGAAATGCGGCTGTTGCAAATAAAAGCCACATTTCAGCAATTTAGCATTCAATCAATTCACAAAAATGAAATACAAAGGCAATCATGATCATAAGAAAGAACCAATACTTTCATGCAATCACGGTCAATGGAAGTTCCACGTACCGCAGGTGTTGTCCCTGGCGCTGGAATGTTTTCCGCAACACACCTAGAAATGTCAAAATAAAATCGCAGAAGGCATTAGTGACATCAGAACTCTTAACAAAATGATTTTTCTTTTTCTTGTCAGACTCGCTTAACTCTGTAGGACGGCCGTGACTAAGAACATTTCCATATCAGATAATAGCGGTAGAAAGTATTGGAACTCACTGGCAAACCTCGCACTTATTAGTCCCTTTATTCTTAAACCATGTCTCGATGCATGATTTGTGCGACTTCGCCATCTCTCCTCGACACGCGCATCCCAGCTCAATGAGCGGCTCCTCCGATCGCTGCTGACAAATTCTAGTCACGCACAGAATTCAACATAAATATCAGTCACACTATCCCGAGATAAGGACCAGGTTAATAACCTAAATCTCTTTCTCCAGAACATAGTCGCAGAGGTCTCCACAAGTCATCAGTTACCTGCAGTGCTCTGCGGCACTATCTGTGCTCCACGAACTGATGGTGCGCCCAGGCCCGGATGCAAAGACGAATGTTCGCACCGTCTCCAGGTCCACACTGCTGGCTAATTGCGCATCCGGAATGACCACCGCCGAGTGACCGAGGTCCGCTGGGGTATTACGACGGGACAAAGCAACCACAGCATCGCTGCTCGCCCCCATGACTCTCGGTGGAAGCCACGCTTGTCTGCTTTGTGCTATCGCATCACTGCTTGTCCTGTAAACTCCCGAAGGCTCCGATTGTCGGCTTTGCGCAACGGCATCGCTGCTCGTCCTGAATATACCCCGACGTTCAGGTTGTGGCCTTGCCACAGGCTTTGGGAGAAACAGCGGCCTTGCAGTCACAGCGTCCTGGTCATGATTCTCTTCTGCTAAGTTCGATTGCTCTCGGTGATCTGTGGAGCTTCCGATGCCAATATGCGAGAGCTTCTCCAAGGGATCATAATGCTCAGGCAACCTCTCTTCGGGCACACGATCAATCACAAAGCCAGTTCCGCCTTCATGCTGCGACAACCCAGTGAATCTAGAAGTCTGGCCGATCTCGGAGCGGCGACGGGCTCGCACTAAGCCCTCATCTGTGCGCGTACGCGCAAGCGGCAGAGCGGGGCCACCGCGCGGCTGCTGGTGCGTCACTAACAAGGAAGAATCTACCGACCGCGCTGGTCGAAGCGACACATGCAATTGCTCTTCGAAATCATCTTCACCCACCTGCGCCTTAACCCCCTTGATGAGGGAATTGAACCGCTGCAGCATGGTGCCTACATGCTTTCCTAACAGAAACTACGCGATAACGACGACGACGACAGTGCCCATCTCAGTGCCCACAGATTGAAACCCCTCACAAAGTTTTGTTTTTTCCCCTATCTAAATTATGACACTCTGTCTGCAAACAGGGAAACTCCAGTCTATGCAGGGAGAACGAAGACCATATTTCGATTCCCTGCTGTAAGCAACCCGAAATCAATTACGTACAACACAAAAACAAGGATCCTGCCTGTATGATCACAACCACTCCAATCCCTCAACTAATCGCTGTCGATTTCAATGTTAACAGTAAAGCGACACCGGGCCACTTTTGGGGTCACAATGAGCAGCGTGAGATATGGGGTCAGGTTATAGACTAAAAAACACAGCGAAGGCAGGTGCTGCGGTGTTATCTCACAAGGTTGGCAGGGATTGTAGTGTGGCCCACGACGAGTTGGGTTTCTCGTGGGAGGCTGAGCTAACACCGCTAGACTCTCACTTTGCGAAGCAATGCATTTCCTTTGTCGATATGCGGTTGATTGCCAGCGATGCGGATGCTGCTACGTGGAGGCCATCATTGCTGCCAACTTTAAAACCATCACACACAGCTGTCTTTCACGCCGGAGTTCAATGGCATAAATACTAAATAAAACTTTTTGTAGGTCCATGATCTTAACAGCCACAAAACTGGTTTAAAATGATGACGCACCCCCCAAATGATGAAGTTGACTCCCTCCACAATTACTCCGTTTACCTTTGAACCCTACTTTAGCAATCCCTCGATCGACGATGCCGTGTTGCGAAAATCGGCTTCTAGTGGCTTTTGTGTTTACCAAACTGCTTCCTGTCCAGGTGCCTTAAAAAATGCATCTCCTCTTTAACCAACACTGTTGTATTTGACTATTGTATAAAACTCAATAGTAGGCGGTGACAACAGTTGCGGATGGGAGGAATTTGCACCAGAGAAAACTACTGACCCCTCCGTGTTAAAGATGGTGATTCTTTTTATGCAATAACGTGTACGCTTGGATTGAAGTGTGCACAGGTTTGGGGGACTTGCATCCATACCATGGTCCAAGTTTTTCACACGAACTTTAAAGAAAATCTACCAAGAGGTGTGAAGTGGTGTGAAGGTTGATGGGTAGTTTTGGCACTGGGTTCCATCTCAATGGAACTTTTTTAATGAATGGGAAAAAGTGACTTCCTCCTTGTTTTGATAGACATTAAAAATTTGGTACATTCATCTTTTGCAATAACATCTCATTTTTATTTTATTTTATTTTCTTACACAACCTTGTTCTTTTATTATTCTCACAAATTTTGATTTTGCAACATTGAGTTAATTTTATCAAAAAACATGAATAATATTTAGGATAATTTCTTTTAGGGTAAATGATATATCAAACAAAATGAAAGCAATGAAGAATTCAATACATACTCACCACCATAAAGCATATTATTCTTATAATGTATTTTTGTAGTGCTGCTGGTGCACTAACTGATTACAAAAAGCACTGAGAAAGTTTTGAAGAACTGCAAAATATTGTTTAAGAGTTGAAAATTCACATTCCAACTCATTTTGCGTTTCAAGTCCACCAATCAAATGGCTAAAAACCTTAGAATTGTCAATGTACAAAAATAAATATATAAATAATACTTGCTAATTTTTAATTTCTTTTAGATTCCTTGCACTGAAAGGCATTTTAGCACCACAACACAACTTTTGGTCCACATTCCACCAAAATGAAAAACACAAAATACAGCTTCTTTTATCTTTGATTTTTGAAAAATACTCATGTAGAAATTACAGCAAAATATCATCTATTTGAGATGATTCTCGAATTTTATCACACCAATAACAATAGATATAAAATCAAATTAAAAGTTGTTTTCTTGAAACTAAATATTAAAATATTCATGTCAATTTTGCAAGTTAAAATAAAATATAATAAAAATGTAAATAAAATCATAATTTTATGTAATACTTCTTACATCTTATTAAATATAAATTTATTTAAAACAATTATTTTTTTACTATCTATATTTATTTTAAATTATTTATTTAAAAATATACTTGAAATAGTTTATGTATATACATTTGCATAAATATTTATTTTTTTATCGAAAAGTAATAAAAATTAAGAAATAAAAAAACACATAAAATAGACATTCAATAGTCAAGATTGCATTCTTTTCTAAGTTTAATTAAGTAAAAAAATGAATTGAATTCATAAGAGATACATCTAAAGAAAAACTTTAAATAATTTTTTAAAAAAACTACCGTTAATAAGATTGGTGTTTTATTTTTATTTTTTGTTATTTTTAGAACTAATTCATATTGAAAAAATTAAAATTACAAAAGAAAAAGGTAGTTACTCATTTAAAAAAAAGTTTATATAGCTTAAATATTAGACTTTATATTAAGAGAATTTATTAAGATACTTTTAGTTTATTAGTTTAATTTTTTTGATAAACTTAGTTTTATTTTTAAGTAATAATAATTATTTTATAATAATAAAAACTTAAAATAAAAAATCATTCAATTCGAAAGTAAACTGAGACAAATCAAATTATTAAATATAATTATAAAACCATGATAAAGTGATAATAAAAGAATTATTTGAAGTTTTGATAAAAAAAAAAATATATTTTTTATCAAGTTAAAATGACTAATAATAAATATATTATAATAAATAAATATAAAATATATAAAAATTTATTTTATTTAAATAAAATATCATATATACATATATACTTAAAAATTTTATTGGGTAATACAAGTTATCAAATTATAGAATTTTTTTTTGAATTTGATAGAATAATTATCCAATAAAATTAATATATTAATCTTAGAGAGTTAGGATTATATATATATATATATATATTTTAGTAGTAGTAAAGACTTGAATTTTATTGGATAATTATTCTATATATATATATATTCATATTTGATAGAATAATTATCCAATAAAATGAATTTTCTATTGTAATCTATTCTAATAATTAAATTGCTTGCCAAGTTTTCATTTCTAGGCAATACAACGTCTTTAAGGTACTCAGTCCTGTCAATAATGAACATGTAGAAACTTAAGCTTTGCCAATATAATTGAGTCAATTCTACGACAAGAAAAAAATTATTTTATTTTTAGCTTAAATAAATATTTAACCTTGTAGAAGTACCATCTCACAAGAAAATTAGTAGCATCTTTGCCAAGAGATATTCATTTATGAACACCAATCTTACTAAGTCTAGTACCAAAAAACAACACAATATTGCCAATCTATAACTTGATGAAATATTAATACTTTGGAACTCTAATGCAAGACATGTTTCATAAGTATTTTAATTGATTTGATGAAGAAAAATATCAAATTTCTTTCTATATCACTAGATCAAGCGCAACAAGTCACATTATTTCTAAAATAGAAGTAACAAGTACCTCAACTTTTATTGTGACTACAACTAAAAGACTTCAATGACTAGCCTTATTTGTTTTGCAAATGGCTAAAAAGCTTGAATAAAAAGTAATGGTAGATGATTGTCATATTTAAGGAAATACGTTGGTATATAACATTGATTATTTCTTTATTTTACAAAATATGTTTTTTTATAGCATTGTTGAAATTATCTTCACTAATGTAGACATATGTATGTTGCCTCAAAATATAACTTCAAAAATGGAACACATGGATGTTGGCATCATTGCTACTTTTAATTACTTGTATTATTATTTCTAATTGCAACATAGAATTGAGACAAGCTTGACGAGTGCAACTTACACAAAGTTGATCAACTCACTATATTAAAATGAAACAAAGCCACATGAAATAATAGCTTTGCAATCACTATTGTCAATTATTTTTTGCACATTAGATTGTATGACAATAAAAAAAATAAATAGATGATATGGTAGAAACTGCTTGCTTAGATTAACCAATATTGCAAATGAACAAGCTTAAAGAAGGCAATTTGATAGCAAACTATACACTTTGCATAAAAAATCCTATATAAATTAATGCCTTATTTAATATTATTAAAGTTATATTTTTTTATTACTTCAATTTTAATTTTTTAAATAGATAGATAACTAGATAGGTATATAGCTAGATAAATAGATATATGAAATTTGCAATAAATATATGTATTATTCTTAAGAAACTAATTATAAAAATAAAAACCATAAACAATTAATATTTATATATCTTGTATATATTAAATTTATTTCTTTGCTTTTAACTTAACTTGTGTTGGATTTATACAAATATGATGTAGCTCAAATTTTCATGTTTTAATTGCTAAGTTTTAACCATATAACTTTAAAACTATCATACATGTATATTTGAGGCATATTATTAAATTTATAGTAAATAAATTTTTTTATCCTTTTATATAAAATTTATATTTTATAAGTAATATTATTAAAACCATCAATAGATTTTTGAGAATATATTAATATTATGCCACATCTAAATACATTTAACATCAATAATACTATATAAATACATATGCATGGTCTTCATATTTTTAATTCGTCATTTTGGAATTTTATTTTTATAATATTTATGAAATATAAATTAACCTTTAATTGCTATACATAGTTTATTAAGATAAAAATATGATTGTATTTATTTTATGACACAATTTTGTTATATAATATAATTTCTTTCATGGCTCTATTATCAATAACAAAAAAAAAAGAAATAAAATACATGTAATAAAAAATATACTATTATAATTTTTATTTTTTATTTTTTATTCTTAACTTGTCAAGAAAGCAAGATTTTCAAAATGATGAAGATTTCACAATGAAGCAAACAAACAATGAATCAAATCAGTTGTTTGATAATAAAATTTAAATCCCATATATCTGAATCAATATATATTGCAAATACTTTCCAATTCAATTTACTAGCATGTGGCACTTCTTTTTTCAAATCTTCAAATTTATTCTTGGCAATTACAAAATCTATTAGAAATATGAGAGAGTACTAGAAGCACACAAATGAGCTTTGGAGAACCAAATGGCATAAGAATGGATACAAATTGGCTAGAGAAAATAAAGCTAGTTGTGTGAGCAGAAGAACACAAAGATCATGGTAAGGCACTTGGCTCTCCAAGAAGAAAATAATGATCTTATCTTATTTCCTATAACATAAGATGTTGTCTTGCTTGAGAATGCACAAATCATTTAGCTATGGAATATAAACTAGAGATTGCAATAACCAAAGATCGTAAGAATCCAATTTTTTTTTTTAATAATTTATATTTAAATCTTAACTATCTTTATCAATTTTTAATCATTTCTAAAGTAATCTTAAAAAAATATTTAGAAAAATCATAAAAAAAATTGAAAACTATATATATATAATAAATCCTAAATATATCTTCATAAAATTTTAACCAAATTTTAATTAAATTTTTATTAAATTCTAAATTTTTTTTAACAAATCCCTATA